TTCCTTTTTCTCACTTCCAAAACATGCTAGATGCCATTCAGCACTGCACTGGTCAGTTTAGCCAATCAAAAGCTACTAGGTTGCTGACGAAAAAACTGCACATTGACGTGGTGTGATGGCTTGCGTACCTCCATGACCCTGCGAGCTACACAGGATGGCTTTTCACAGCCGTATATCCAATCATGCCTGAAAGGTCAACGGGTGGAGGCCAGACGAAGCTCAGTTTCACAAAGGCAGCTGCTTGGGCACTTCTGGCCCCTGGAGAGGCCACTGCAGCAAATAAACACGGTGAGCGGCAGTTTACCAGTCAAAACCCCTCGTTAGATGGATGTAGGAGCGGGGTACCTGGGGCTTCCTCTCGACGGTGGGAGGAGTCTTCGCACTTCATTGGACAGCTACCGCCCGCCCAAGTTGGGCAGCTCCCAGCCAATAAGGTGCTGTCCCGTCCGCGTTCCGCTTGTCTCATTGGTTGCATGAGGCTGAGGGCTGATCCCGAAAAGCGGACCGATAATGAACGCACCAGCGAACAGCACACTGAACCGAAATTCAAAGCCCCTGCGTGACAGTTCTCTAGAAGCTCCCATACGGGTGCTCCGTTCACACTTTCGCGTTGGATTTACGCCCCACTGCCTTTTGGGTCAGACTGTTGAGTCGAAGGCTCCGGTTAGGGTTCCCAAAGAAAAACTCACAAATTCCCGCTGCCTTGCAGGTCAGACTTTTGAGTCAAAGGCTCCGGTTACTGTTCCCAAAGAAAAACTTTTTCGTCGGTGTAGGCAATCGCGAAGTATGCCGTGCCCAAAGTCTTAGGTGCTCATTTGGAGAACCGTCTTTCTCAACTGTCTATTTCCTCTTCTCACTCCCTGTTTGCGCCACCCATCGGATACCACTCAGTGTTCAACTAATACGGCCAACCACTCAGAGGCTATCAGATTTTTGAAACCAAAATCTCTTTTTCACTTAGCTGCATTTAATGTCCGCACACTCTATCAGATTGGTCAACAAGTCGCCTTAGCTAGAACCATTGAAACCTTCCGTTAAGATGTGTGCTGTGTCTCCGAAACACGCATACAAGATCCTACTTCAGTCATCTCCCTCCG